TTTGTTATTATAGAATCCGGAGAGTGTCCACCAATTAAAGCCCTGGCCATCCACAGTACCAGAGCCTTGAATGGTGAAGTTATGTAGCCATTTGAAATTCAGCCATTGAAACAAGCTGGATTTTGGCCACGAACTTACTTTTGGAGGCGCCAACACAGCTCCATCAATCTGTTTCGGAGTTGCACTTCCCCCATTAATTATCTTATCTTTTGAAGTCTAAAGCAGCACTAACTTATTAAAAGGAGAAAAAGAAAAACAATATGTTACATGACATGTCAAAGAACATACTTTTTGTCCTTTTCATTACATCCTCAAATAAATCAAATTCTTTAAGGAGAGAAGATATGAAGGCAAACCTGAAGAACTAGCTGAGGCATACAAGGGCCATTTAGAGTTATGGGTTTGATTAGAAACCTGTATTCTGATGGGATCTGCAACGTAGCTCCAGGAATCTGGCATGCAGCTTTCCATGCTGATATAAGTGCCTGCAAATAGGATGGTTTTTGCAAGTTCAAAACAATGCATCAGTCACTTACTCTCCCTCCCTCTGTTTTCTGAGGTTGTTTTAGACAATTTTCCTTTTAATGTTTGCGAGTGTCCATGCCAACTTATGCTACTCGACGAATTTTAGAGGATGGCTGCTTGATTCTACTATATTAATTTGGTTGCTAAAGAAAGGTTTAAGATATTAAATTTTAAGTAGGTGAACTCTTAACTCGTTTTTTTTTTCTTTAGCCTCGATGACAACTAAGCCAATTCAGGATGGTCAGAATTTGTTTTTCACAATTTTACCTTGGAATCATCAGAAACTCCATTTCCCTTTGCTCCAAACGACAAGATGTTGAAAATGGTGGACTGAGTTTGATTGTAATCAGGAAATGGAGCTGGTGCTGAAGCACTGCCATTTCCAGCACCCTTTTGCTTCTGATGCTTCCCCTTCTTGCTGTGATATTGCTTCCTTGCCTCCACTGTAACTACAGAAGAACACACAAGCAAAGAGACCAGAAAGAACAGAAACAATGAAAAAGTTAAATTCTGGCTTCTTTTGTTCATCTCCACAAGCACTCTTATTTCTCACTTCCCAACACTAGAGATTTTAAGCCAAGTTCAACTGAAAACAAGATAGTGAAGTCTTCAGAATATATAGAGAATTCAAGGCCTGTCATATTCAGAAAAAAGGTCCACTTTTCCAAGGTAATTACCTAATGGCATCTAATGGCAGTGACCCAACAGCCAGCTCAAAGAGAATAAACATAAAGTAAACTCCATCTCAAGCAAATGAATCGTATTATAATTAGTGAAAGTTGTCATTATTTAGAGCACCTTTGTTTGTTTGTATGTTGTTGTGTATAAAATTATGAATTAGCAAAATTATGAAAGCTATCTACGGCACATCGAATGGATAATGCATTCAAGAGCACGTCTTCCAAAATATATATAAATTAATCTTTCAAAAAGAAAATAAATAACGGCATTGTTGGCTCTAAAGAAAATTTCTCCCTTTGAGTTAGGAAAAGATTCTTAAAATTGCAAAAGATGCTGTTTTGTTGACATGGACTGTTAATCTTTTGAATTAGAATTTTGGACACGCATATGACTTTAGGTGCTTTAAAATTTTCAATTTTTTAAAAAAAGTGCTCACAGCCAATAAAAAGTTTAGTAAAAGAAACCAATTGGTTGATAAAATTCTAATAGAGAGTTTGGTATTACTTCTTGAAGGCGCCAGAGCGTCTTAATGAGTTAAAACATCGTCCAAATTTTTCATAGGTTAATGAATACCTTTAATAATTCTAAGGATACTTGAAAATCTGTTAAAGTATGATCAGAGAACTTAATAATGCCTTTCCAAATCTTTTTTATAGAAAATGTGTTACATGGTACTACTTCCGATATTAAATTGGCCACCATGATTTGAACTCATTCCCTCTGAATTCTTTATAATTTAGATTGATCTTTATTGACCACGATGGTTAACTGCTCCCCAACTAATTCTAATTGAAAAATGTAAAATCTTTATTAGTACAAACATTTTTTTCAGCTAAAAGCCACATTTCCCATTACTTGGGAGTAAATACCAATGTTGGTCTATATCATAATCAATCATAAAAAAGATACAAACATCCCATTTGATAATCATTTTTTTCCAGCTAAAAGCCACATTTGCACATACATTTCTTTCTATTCAAGGAGAAAAGGCAAGCATAATTTTTTAAAGTATAAAATAAAAAACGAAAGGATTATCAAATTCGTTAACTTCCTGATTCAGAAGAACCAAAATGCAGATTCATCAAAATGATACAATTAAACAAGGGTAACAAAAGGACACCCCAAAATCACAGGTCAACCTAATAAAAACAACCAGAGCAGAAGGGGTTACTCTTACTGGATTAGTGATCTATCAGAAACCCACATACAGAAAAGACACAAAAAAGGACAAAAGTGTAGAGTAGATAGAGCTAAACGGAAAAAAATAAAATAAAGTGCCACTTGGTAGGTTGAGGAGATCATGGGGGCAGTTTTTATAGTTGAATACCTGGAAAGTTGTATAAAGAGGGTTTTGAAGAGGTAGCTTTTTGGCGAAGTGGGTCGCACGTTGATCAAACTGGGAATACAATACAGCCTACAGAGGGCGGCTCAGGCTCGGCATTATAGTATGGTAGTGACTTCCATTTGGCTCCATTTTACTTTCTTTTCTATCCACACCCACATCTTCTATTAGCACACCACGGTTTTCTTTTATCTCTCTCTCTTTCGTCGCACGCTGTGGGCCACTCGATGGGCCGGTCGGTGCCCACTACGGCGATTGCGATGTTCTTCTCTGTTGTGTGTTCTGTCGGGGTGGGATTAGGAATTAGGAGCCTACTTTTTGTAATGGTGGCGCTCCTTTTTGATAGTCGCAAAAGTTTAAAAGGTTGCAGTTGCAGAGTAGCCATAGCCGGCTGAGCACTGAGGAGACAGGGAAGGTGGGAGATATTGGGTTTGGGCCTTGTGATCGGCCTATCCCCCAGTTTGGTCCTTGGGCCTCTCGTGGTTTCTATTTTTCGGCCCAAAAGGCTGTTTCTTAAGTATCTGGTTTTGAGCCTTGTGATTTGATCGTTGGGCCTGTTGTGGTCTCTGAGAGGTTTTGGGTTTTGGGCCTATCGCGATTTCTGGATATTAGGGCCCAAAATGTTTTAACTAAGAGATATTGGGTCTGGACCTTGCGATTGGCCCAGTGATAGATGGCTGGGCCTCGTTATTTCTGGATAATAGAACCCGAAAGAAAGCCCATAGTATCTGAGAGAGAGAGATTAGGTCTGGGCCTTGTGATTCACTTGTCCCCAATTCGATAAAATCTCGTCATTTCTGGGTATTAGGGCCTAAAAGGCTGTTTTACCTATCTGGGGATATTGGGTTTGGGCTTGTTATTAAGCCCAATTCTGTAGTTGGGCCTCTCATGATTTCTAGATATTAGGGCTGAAAAGGCCGTTTTAACCATCTGAGAGGTATTGGGTATGGGCCTTGATATTAACTTATAGGCCAATTTGATTGTTGGGCCTCTTTTAACTTCTGAATATGGCCCAAACGCCGTTTTAGCTGTCTGAAGGATTGGGTTTGGGCCTTGTAAGTGGCCAATAACCTAGTTCGATGGTTGGGCTTCTCATGATTTCTGGGTATTGAGGCCCAAAAGGCCATCCTAACCATCTGACCAAGCCTCCATGCCATATCTTCCTGCATTATGGAAGAAGAAAGGAAAGATGGTAAATAATAATTTAGTACACGAGATATTAAATATAATATACACTAATATGTTCAAAGGTCCAAGTTCGTTTATATTAGGTGAGAAGTATTTGACAAGTTAACCATTCTGAGAGTTTAAAATTGTACATTTTTAATTTGAATAATGAATTTTAATAAAATGCATGTCCAGTCGGTGGGTCTTAAATTTACAAAACGTTAGTCACTGGTAATTTTCAAAAGACAAGACAATATAGCAATGAATTAATAAGTCAATAACATAAAAGTCGTCCCCAGTTGGGAATTAGGTAGAAATCACACAGATTGTGAGAAATTATATTATAAAAAGGGTGGGAATTAAGAGATTTTTATTCAAAACTCTTCAATAATTAATACCTTTGTCGGAAGAAGAAAATGGAAAATCGTTCTTTTCGATTCAACTTTAAAGTGACCTCATTTGAAAACTTGAAAAGAACGAAAATACGTGTAGAATTTAATATTTATATTTATATATAAAAAAATTCAACATCACAGAGGCTAAATAAGGAATGAAATGACAGAGAATTCAGGAATTGGCCCCACATGAGACATAGGCGCCGCCGTGCCCCCACCGCGCATTTCCCGTCGTCGCGCCCACTCACTCTGCCGAGTCTTCCATTACATATATGTTTTTACGGAAGAGTCTTCTTTTTCAGTTTTATTTATTTTTAAGATTTTGACTTGTATGATTTTAAAAGTTACGATGGAATTACCAAAAGTCGGTTAATTTATGATACATTATTTCCCCTTTTGAGTTTTCGTGCTAATCTGTTCAAGTTTGGAGGTAAATTAACGTAGGTTTTTTTTCCCTCCGCAGGGTAAAATGGCACGGTAAAGTTTCAAAAAAGAAAAGGAAAAAAAAACGGCTCTCCCTGCTGGAACAGAAAGGCCACAAAATTACAAAACAAAAATTAATCAATTCAAACTCCCAAATCCACTCATTCCAGGGGGTCCTGAATAAGACGGTTGATTTATAAGTCAAAAAGCATATCTTTATGGACATGAAATATTTCTACCGTCCAAAAACAAATCCGATCGTCTATTTAAAAATCTAAAAGAATAAAATTTACACTTTTATCCTGAACTAATTATAATTAGATTAATATATTTTTAAGGATCCATCTCAATATTAAAATTTAAAATTGGTAAATTAGGAGATCAATGTTAATGACACCTTCCAAAATAAAAAAAAAATCTCAAAATCTCAAAAAACCATCTATTTTCGAAACTCATCCCTTTCTTCTTCCTCCGAGCCTCCGTTCTTCTTCTCCGACAGTCCGTCGCTATCTACCTTCCTCTCCAGCCGTCTCCGTTTTTCTCTGTCGTAAGAGCATTTCGTTGCGTTTATCCCTTTCAAAAGGAGATTTCCATCGGTCGACCACCTTCATCTCTTGCATTCCAACGTTGTTTTCAATTTCTGATTTCGTGTGAAATATTGTATATATGAGGATATATATTATTATAGTAAGTTGATTATGATATATCTTATTACTCAACTTATTTATATCTAACGATATGTACTATAATGATTTTAAATGTATATATGTGGATATATAAGTTAATATATACTGTGATTTTGAATATATTTTTTGAATATGCATTATATGTTTATTGAGACTTCAAAAGATGTTTTGTGATTTTGAATTGTCTTTGAAAATTGAGCATCAGAGAGTGAATTAAGGGAAAATTTTGAATGAGTAAATTAAGGTTTTGAAGGGGTGAATTGTGTTCAAAATTAGTATGGGGCCCACTAATTAATTAAATGATTATGATAATAATTTATGGAATTAAATCTTTTATATTAAAAAAACAAATAACTATGTAAATGTAATAAATAATGGTAAAATCGAAATTAAAATAAAATCCTATCGTAGAAATTTAAGTGTAAAATTAGAAAATTTTACCCTGAAACAGTACTCACCATAAATCTCCACGGAGATATTCAATTACTGTAGATACTTTTTTGTTTAGTACAAGTGTCTAGATAGGTTAATTATATTATACATCAAAATTATAGTAATGTGTTAGATATAGCAAACAACCTTAATTATTAGGTATAGCTCAATGGTATCTTGCCCATTCACATTTATTATATTAAGAAAATATTAATCATAGCATTAAACTAATAATTATCTGCTGGTGGAGTACGATTTTGACCAAAATCAACCATATAATACATCAGTTTAATAAAAAGCAACAATTGATACATAAAAATAAAGTTGTTGAAATTTGAATCAATCGAAATGATAAAGTTTATTAAAATCAAACTAATTAATTCTTTTCCAATTGTATGCTTTAAAGAGAATAATAAACCAAATAATATAATTTCAACCCAACCCAATTTAATTGATTTTGGTTAAATTAAAATTTTAGTAGGTAGATTCATGAGTTTTCATTTTTATTATCTAACAAGTCTATGAAATTTAAGGAATATCAAATAAATCGACTTTCAATCTTGTATCAAATGGACCCTGTAATTATTAGACATCAAATTGGAATGCTATGATACTATTAGACAATATAAAATTTTAAAATATTGAATAAATAAGAGATTTACTAGATATAAAATTATAAATTATATTAAATATAAAATTTATTGATTAGACACAAATTTTAGAGATTTAATTAAACCATTTTTGAGGTTTAGGAAGTTATAGATAAAATTTTAGAAGTTAAAAAATATAAACCAATTTTCAGTTTAATGGTTTCTAAAGCTGTATTTAATCGCGATAATTGGATGTTAATTGCGAACTAAGATGCATTAAAGTTGTCCATCCAATTCCAATCAGTGTCATATAAGTCTAAAACTGCCGCAGAATTTAATTATGATCCGTAATTAAATTTGTCTGCACTCAGTTCTGTTCTACGCGGTTTCTTTAGTCTTCTCTTTCGATTCAGAAGTCAACGATGGAAGCAGAATCTGCAATTTTCCACCCATACATATTGCTTTCAATGGCTTCGCTTCCATTAATGACCAACAGTGGACCACTTTCGCCACCCTATAAATCTTCCCACTTTCGATTTCTTTCCCTGATTTTCCCCCAATTTCCAAAATGTATCCCTCCAATTTCAATTTCCCCTCTTCGATCGCATTGCTTCTGCTGCTCTTCTTTTGTCTTGTAAGTCATTCGGCGGCTGATCCGAGAGCCACGGAGGCGGCTCTCATATGTTCCAACAACACGGCTTCCCCGCCGGAGCGATCCACCTTCGTGACGAATTTCTTGGCGTCCATGGATGCGGTTACTCCTCTAATTGCTGCGCAGCGATTTGCGACTGTCGTGAATGGGACTGGAAACACGACCGTTTACGCTTTTGGTGAGTGTATGAACGATCTCTCCCAGTCGGACTGCGATCTCTGCTTTGCTTCGATGAAAACTCAGATCCTGCGGTGTCTCCCCTTCCAACTTGCTACTCGCGGGGGAAGGCTATTCTTCGATGGCTGTTATGTTAGGTATGATTATTATAATTTCTTCAACGAATCTTTGAGTGCAGTGGATAGGGCTGTATGTGGGAAGTCGGATTATAGTGGGAATCAGACCATTTTTAGTGCTAATGCTATGGAATTGGCGAGGAATTTGAGTGTAGTAGCGCCCAAGAACGACGGGTTTGCGGTTGGATTGGTGAATCTGAGAAATGTTTCCGTCTTTGGATTGGGTCAGTGTTGGAAATTTGTGAGAGGGGCTTCTTGTTCGAAGTGTTTGGTTGCTGCTGCTAAGGAAATAGGTTCGTGTCCTCCAAAAGCTGAAGGAAGGGCGTTAAATGCTGGCTGTTACTTCAGATTTTCAACTCAACGATTTTATTTCAACAGCACGGCAACTGCCACTGGAGGCAATGGTGAGTTCGGTTTTATTTACTTGCAGTGAAACTGTTTGAAGAATTGCTTCTTCACTGGATTACTTTATCGTTCAATTGAAACAAATTGCCATAAGAGACTTTTCTTGTGGTTCCTACCTGGATATTAAAATCTTATGGGACCTGGGGGATAACCTATGAGATTAGTCGGGATGTATGTAAGCTTGCTCATAGTCATGGATATAAAATGCAAAAGAATTAACCTTAAATATGGCCTAACTGGTAGTCTCTTATGATGCCCTGTTCTCTGTTCACGAGCTGAGTTGCATGTTAGAACATTTTGGAGAGAGAGATGGTGATAGTTGTGGTGTAGATTAATGAAAGTTCTAAACCTAGTTTAAGTTTGAGACTTGAATGAACCTGAAAAACCCCATAACCTAACCATCAAAATGGATAAAATTGTCGTGAGTACTCAAATGTATTTATGGTTAACTTGATGAGGAGAATTTGGATTTTCAGTTTCAGTGATTAGAATGGAATCTAATTTACAGTGATGAGAGGTCCTTTTATTATTGCGCGAGATGAGATTAACAATGGTGTGGATGTTTTTCCACATTCTCTACACTGTCCAAATATATAAAACAAGCTCAAATGAGTCCTAGAGAAAATTTAAAGCATGTGGAGGCACTTTGACTGGAGCTTCATAATGTGCCTACAATAGTTTACTGAAATCGAGTTCCTCTTTCCAATTAGCCGTGTAAGATTTGTTAAACCATGTGATATATTAAAATTTTCCTGTCCTTCTAAATAGAACTTTTTCAATCTTATTAGTCCTCTGCACCATTGCTTGTTGGTTTGTGAACCAAGCATTTTCATGCCATTGCTTCTCTTAGTTTGGTTTAAAAAAAAAAAAAAAAGAACCTACTGTTATCCTGAGATATGGTGGCAAATAATTCATATGTTAATTTTTACAGGAAGGAGCCGTTTGGCAATAATTTTGGCTTCAGTTTCTGCTGCCGTGGCTGCCGTGTTGATTATTGCAACGGTTGTTTTCTGTGCCAGAAGGAATGTTGTGAGGAAACGCAAAGGTATTTGCTTTTATTATGTGACTATGGTAAAGTTTTCTTTCAATCGTCAAAATATTCAACTCATTGCAATTTTCTTTTTGCTTCAGAGAGAAAGCAACTCGGTCCTCTTCTAGCTATCGTTAACAAGTCCAAACTTAATTTTTCATACGAGACTCTTGAGAGGGCCACAAATTACTTTGACCAGTCCAATAAACTGGGACAAGGAGGTTCTGGTTCAGTTTATAAAGTACTATTCTGTCTCTCGTTGTCTTGGGCATACTCAGAACTTCAAAAATGCAAACTAAATAAGAAAGTTTCATTATGTTAAACAGGGAACTCTATCAGATGGAAGAGTTGTAGCAATCAAGAGGCTTTTCTTCAATACAAGACAATGGGTGGATCATTTCTTTAATGAAGTGAATTTGATAAGTGGCATTCGACACAAAAATCTTGTTGGGCTGTTGGGATGCAGTATTACAGGCCCGGAAAGCCTTCTTGTTTATGAATATGTGCCAAATCAAAGCCTGCATGATTACCTTTTTGGTAACGATTCCACCCCGAAATCCCATGTCTAATTTAAGAAGCTTTATTCTTAAAAGAATTAAAGAAATTGAAATTCTTTTACTTAATCTCTGTTTTCTATGTGCATCAGGTAACAAGAATGTCCAGCCACTGAGTTGGGAATCCAGGTTTAAGATTGTATTAGGCACAGCTGAAGGCTTGGCTTATCTTCACGAGGAGTCAAAGGTGAAAATCATTCATCGAGACATAAAATTAAGCAATATTCTGCTGGACAATGATTTCACTCCGAAGATTGCTGATTTTGGGCTCGCTAGATTGCTTCCTGAAGATAAGACACACATTAGCACTGCAATTGCTGGCACGCTGTAAGTTTCCATAATATATCATTTGGGACTCTTATCTACTTTCCAAAACATGAAGTTTTGCTCAGACCATAAGTAACTAATGTATGTTGACGTATTTTGGACATGTGTAGAGCAAACATGTTTTGCCCCTAAATGCATTCTGTGTTAACAGTTGGACATCTTTGCTCGTTCACAAGTTTGTGATTATGCCTAAACTCATGCATCTACAATCAACTTTTACTTGTCAATAGAAACATTTAGCAGCTTGATAATTTTCATGAAAATACCAACAAGACTATCATCTTAATGTTTTTCCCAAGTCCTTTTCTCATATTTAAATGCTTTACACTTGCAGAGGTTACATGGCTCCAGAATATGTAGTGCGTGGCAAGTTGTCTGAAAAGGCAGATGTTTATAGTTTTGGAGTTTTTGCCATTGAAGTTATCACAGGAAGGAGGAATGGTCACTTCTATCAAGATGCAACCTCCATCTTACAAAGGGTGAATCTTTTATCTCTTACATCATTCTGTTATCCTCTAATGTAAAGTTCCTAAATTAAACTGACACGGACCGTCATTGTCTTTGTTTCTTAAGGTCTGGAATTTTTATGGAGAGGGTAAGCTATATGCAGCTGTTGATCCTGTTCTTGCAGGCAACTTTCCACGAGATGCAGCATCTCAAATGCTTCAAATAGGTCTGGTTTGTGTGCAAGCCTTTGCTGATCTAAGGCCATCTATGTCGATGGTTGTGAAAATGATTACAGAAAATTATGAGATTCCCCAGCCAAAGCAACCTCCATATCTTCATTCTTCAAGTGGAGAAGTAAAATTCCAGAATTCTTCAGGGTCATCCAAACCCATTCTGGATTTGAATTCAGGGTCTTCACAAACTAACATGACTCAAAGCATCATCGATCCTAGATGAGCTGCGGCGTTCTTGTGAAATTATTTCTGATCATATATATAGCATACTCTTATATTAAACCCTGATAGATAACAGGTGAAGGCTTGCCATAGTTTTCCTGAACTTGTCATTCTCCCAACTCCCAACTTGCCTTCATCGTCGTGTACATTATACGGTCTCGTGGAAAACAAGAAACGCAACATTCTAATCTCCACTGGTCGGAGGATTGCAGGGTCGGTACCTGCCAAGTTTTAGAACACAATTAGCTTCTAATGAATGGCACTCCAAGTTTGGTAAGTGCAATTTGTATGCTGTAAATTCCATATATAGTCCATGTAATATGATGTGAAGGAAAATTTCGGCTTCTTGAGTTTTATAATTGTCTTATTGTATGAAGAATAAGTAGACTGCCACCATATGATATAACTTCCCAATCACGGTGCTTTACATAACAGTAAATTTCTGTGATACAATATTTTCTAGAATGTAATCATGAGAAATTGTTCTTACTTTTTGTATATCCTAAGAGTTGGGTTTAGTATTTGTGAACATTGGAAACTTGGAATTTATTTTCTGTATGTTGGTAACACAAGCAATAATATGAGTGTCCAAATTCTTCACCATATAAATATATATATATTGTTTTATTTTCCAGATATACATGAAGGGAAAGCAAACAAAAGCCGAGATCAGAGGAAACAACACTGGGAATATACATGTTGAGATGGTTAATTGAGTGTCTCAGTCCTCTCTGAAGAATCTACCAGAAGAAAGCCCATCCATTGTTTCAAACTGCATATTCTCTGATGGCTTCCAGTGGCGTTTCCGTTGATTTATGAACCAATTGTTAATTTGCTTCTGGTCAAGCCCTGTTCTCTCTGCCAGCGCCACCTTATCGGCTTCCTGCAAGATTATAAGCACCGGGTTATGGCCCATAAACTATCTCTCAATGTCAATGATGAGGGAAATTTATTATTTAATTAAACAACTTTAGATATTGTGAATTCAAACGAAATTTATTTTGAAAATCTATGCTTCGTAGCACGTGAGAAGGTATGATTTCATGAGACCATACCATGCAAATTACAAGATTTACAAAAGGTTATAAGTAAACATACCGTAGGATAAGGCCATTTATAGTGAACACTCCACCATTCAAAGAGTATTTGCCTGGCTTCTTTGGGCAATTTTCCCTTTTTCTTCTTCTTAGAGAACTCCAATTTTAAGGTACTAATATGACTGCCAAATCTACGTAAAAGTTTGTCCTTGAGATCCCTGTTCTCGCCTTTGGTTTGAGGCTCCGCCTCCACAGCTTCCATCTCTCCTCCGCTTAAGTCTTCATCCGATGAGACAGCACCTTCATCTATTCACGTGATAGCAAAAATTAGTACCCAGTACCCAGCCCATGTTTAATCAGATGAAATTTCTTAAAAAAATTAGGATTCAACATCTCAAAGAAGAAGGGCAGACAGGAGGAGTTTGATGACGGGGACCCCACAGAGAAAGGCATTCAAAGGTAAAACAAGGATTTGACTACCAACTGCAAAAAGGGAAGAAGGAAAAGGGGAAGCCCAAGGTGCGTTTCAGCAGTGTCTGGTTAAGTCATTTGTCAGAGGCAGGGGGGCGTGGAGGAACTCACAGTCAGAATAGACAAGACTGAACGGCCACATAAATTCACTTTCTGGAATGACCCAACCCAACCCACGAGAGTTTCGAGGTTAATAGAAAAAAATTTAAGAAAAAAAACCTTCTTCCCCCTCTCCCCTCGACTATATCCCATGAGCAGTAGCAGTAAGCGATGCCCCCACCAGACGAAAGTGACACTTTACCCATATCCTTATTACCGGGTAATGCCCATGCCAATGTCCATGCCCAGCCAGGAACAAAGCACATGGTAGTTGTTAGTTGATAGTGAATTAAATGACCACCCCTTTCCAGACCACTTCCTCACATTTTCAAATGTCACACTTTGGAAGTCTGGAAAAAAAGGATAGAGTATCCATCCGGACAAAGGGAGAGAGTACTGATTGTTTTAGTTTGTAAGATTTAAGAAGGAAGGTGGAAGGTGAGAAACAGAATCCCCCACCCCACCTGGTTAGCGAGGAACTATTCTGATCTGATCCAAACCCTGACTTTCCTTTCGCATCTCTTGGCTAGTTAGCTGATTCTGTTCAGACAAAGTAAAAAGTCGGTGATGGGCACCAACTTCAATCTTAAGTGTAACAAAGAAAAAGGGCCCCCCAAAAGGGGAAAGATAAAGCAACGGATATGGGTGAAAACTGTGAGCCCAGCTACCAGCCACAAAGAGACACGTGTCGTACACATCACCCGCACGAAGAGTACTTGTCGATAGAAGTGACAACCACTAACCAGCTGGGAGTGACTAAGTGCGTGGGTAAGAGAGGGCGCCAAAAGCACCTTCGCAGCGAAAACTGCGGGAGTACATGTGACAGTGTGGAAACCTCGACCACCCGCTCAACCCGGGCTTTCCCTTAACTTTTCCCTTTCTTTTTTTTCTTTTCCTTTCCCTTTTCTCTGCCAAACAAAATTTCTCAGTTTTCAATCGTGGGACATGCCATTACCCAGAATTTATTTCCCACCCAGAACACTGTACATTCTCAAGCTTCTTACTCCTGGATAAAAATGGCGATCAAGACCAAGCAAAGCAAGCCGTGACCATTATATTGGTGAGTAAAATACACATGGCAGAAACAAAAGCTATTCAGTATTTCCTAATGGCACATAAAAGCATGTACTCCACCACCTAGTACTCGCCCCAACAGACCCTAGGTTTAAAGACCCATCTTTTACTCTTTCTTCATCAAAAAGTTCGGATCGATTTACGAAATGGGTCATATAAAACTTGGGATATTAGAGTTCATTCGCAAGGAATCCTGCTGTACACAAATAGTGGGTTCCGAGAAAAAGATAATAATTTGAATACTGCTATCACTGTAACCAGCAGAAAAACTATAAAAACAAAAATAGTAATTAAGAGGGGTGGGATACAAAGACCACATAACAATAACATCACAAATAAGCTAGATATGCAACCAATATGTAATCATTATTCATTCCTTTTACATCAATTTTTAAATCCAGAGAAAGGTGATCTTTATTTAGCTGGGGGTTCCAGACAAAATAATGTAGTAACTCACTGTCCAAAAAGAAATATAGTGATTTTATATGATGAACACAGCTAGATCATCGCCTTTATATCCTCGTTCTAGAAGTAGATACCCAAAAAGAACATTAACTTGTGTTGATGGTAGACATTAAATAACATACTACCAGTCATATATTGTTTCAATTTTCTGGAATAATTTCTGCTAACTAATCTATCCCACTTTCCTACATCAACTTTGTGACCGACTAGCTCTTAAGACAAATCTATCTAGAATGATCTGGATGAGGATGGACGAAAAGCATTACGACAAGATAATAAAAAGGGGAATTCGCACACAAAATTAAAAGTGAGTCCAAAGAGAGTGCAATAATGCAGTTAGTTGGAAATAATAAGGCAAATAGTTCGTGCCAAATCTTTTGTTGTGTCCTCATGAGATGCTAAGTTCTTGCATAAAAACGAGCCAGCCAGATATTGGCAGCAAATACCGTTCGAGCACGTGAACGCATACCCATTTGAAATCCAAATGGAAGTCTGCCAACGGTCGCATGTCCAAAGAGACTTTAATATAAGGGATTATATATATGAAAGAATATAAAGAACTCACTAAAGCTCTCGTGCAAAGACAGGCTGAACACGAGGCTATTTTTTTAATGAAGATAACATCACACCTGAAAAGTTAATTTGTACTTCCAAAGTAAATTAAAAACAATAGTTGCCAACCATTATCTTTGATTTACAACCCCTTTTTTAAGATCACTCATTTTTTTAAGGAAAAAACTAATTTAACCTTTAAAGCCTGCCATACCCATTCCCATAAGTTGCATGTCAGAGAAATTAGAGATCAGCATTACAACACAAAGCAAGTTCAGTGATTTGTTCTATAATAATGAGGTTTCTCCTACCTGGGGATTGAAAGTTCTTTTTTGACGTTTAAATGAACTAATCAAGTTTCAAGAAGATGTTACTGCAACTTCACTTTATCAGCTGCAGTCAACAGCTTCATGACAAGTCCCAAGGTTCATTTTCTCATTTTCCATATCTTACATGCACCACTCATAAATTAACACACTTTAAAATTGTAATTAAAATATCTTCGACAAACATTATCACAGCCATCACAATCACGTTTAAGATAATGTCAATTATATACCTTACGAAAGATTCATCATATAATACGGACACGTATATATGTAACACTCATAAATTAACACACTAATGCAATGATGTTTGCTGTCTGAGTGAGAATTATCCACTCCTTTTATCTCCTTAATGGCATCACAAACTATCTTTTGTCTATTTTAATTAGTTGCTATCCTTTTTTTGTACCTAGAAAAATCTTCAACAGTGATGATCAATTCAAGAAATTATTGACCGAACAAATTTATGCAGGCCACTGAAAAAGGAATTCTTGGCCTCCCCATATACTTACTATTGAAAGTATATATACTCAAAAGTAATTTCATCTTGAAATTTCTAAAGAAAAAATTTATGATTTTATCTTTCCTTCTGGAATTGTAATGTTATATTTGGCGTGATATTGCTACTATCCTCCATATAATCTCTACCTACACAGAAGAGAAAAAAAAGGGGAGGCGGGGGGGGGTGGATTCACTAGCATTTTTTCATAGGATTTTTGGTAGACAATTATTGGAAAGAATAATAGTCACTTATCAAACATCAGAAAAATTACTACTTCACAATGATTAAAGAGAGTCAATAATGATAAGCGAAATGCATGTATGATACAAAATACTTTAACAATAGGATCATTGAGAATCGATTGATTATGTTTACTAAGACATCCCATATGTAAGATTTCAAATATATGATAAGCTAAGGCAGCCAGTATTTCGGGCCAAATAATTAAAAACAAATTAGTACCGTTTTGTCTATCATTAAAAATGAGATGCATTATGGATATAGAATTTAAAGGCTTTTACAAGGATTTTTCTACCAGTAGACAAATATGTATATTAATTAATACGCCCAATCATATTACTATTTCCAATGTCGTCACACTCAACTCTGAAATGTCAAAATCAGAATCTCCAACACGGAAAAAGTTCACACTTCCAGGATTGATATTTATTTTTATTTATTTGTTTATTTTTTTGGCATAGAAAATGAAAAGAGAGATAGAGATAATAAAAGCGAAGAAAATGAAACAAACACAACAAACAAGAACAAGATAGATGGATAGCCGCAGTTAAACAAACGAAAGAAAAATGTAATAATTAAAACTCTAAATTATTAGGAAACACTATTTGGAAGCCTTCATTATTGCACTTGAAGATTTCCAATATAATGAATAAAGAATCAACATTCAACGAACAATTAACAAGGTCGTAATCCAAAAACAGCGACTGTAGATAAGAGTTGCAATCGAAGACACAAGCCGATATCCATAGTTCCTAGGGTTTGGCTGTTCCTTTGAATTATTGGTTGTTAACACCTTAGAATTTTCAATCAGCAGTAATCTCCTAATCTTGTTTTTTTTTTAGTGTCATTATTTAACCAACACAAGTGACGGCAAGAAAATATAATCAGTGATTAACATCAAAGAATACTGGTTAGTGATTACTGACCGGAAAGGCTTCTGGAGAAGGCGCCATTGCAGAGGTTACTAAGTTGCATTTCGATCTTATTTAAAAACGTCGTCGCTTCATCAAAAGGCCTCTTGAGATCTGATTTATACTTCACCAACATATCGCAGTACGTATCCTTAAGAGAGAGAGAG